GCTCAGCCAAAGCAAGGACTTCTTCCTTACTTTCTGTTCTGGTGAAACCCATTTCCACCTGTGGAAACATTCCCATCTGTTAATTCATTCCTATCCACCAGGAGTGTGCCCATTTTCTGGATGGGGAAGCACAGACAAGGGCAGGCCAGAGGCAGTATCTGAGGCTAAGCAAGGTCCATATTTCCTGCTGCTAGGTGAGTGAGTGTGTGTGTGTGTGTGTGTGTGTGTGTGTGTGTGTGTGTGCGCGCGCACGCGCGCACGCACGCATGCATACACTTTGAGAAAGTGTTTGCATATGTGACTATTGAAAGATGGTATGTGTGTAAGAGAGTGAGGGAGAGGCAGGCTTGGGTACCTCTCCCAGCTTCCCTCAGCACCTCCCTCAGTGTGTAACAGTTTCCTTGTCCACATCTGCCCAATGTCAGCAACTCCTTAAAGGGTAAAGAAAGGGTCTAACTCACCCCTCTTGTCTCCAAGATTTAGACAAAAGTACACCACATAATGAACCTTCAGTCGATACTTGACGAATGAACTTGTGAAGTAAGACTGTGAATGTGAGAGGGAAAAGGACCCAGGAAGGGATGTGGGGAACACATTCTACACAGGGTCCTGGGGGTAGGGGTTGCCAACTAGGGGACTTGGACACCTCAGGAGATAAGGAAATTGCCCAACCTAGGCTATGAAAGCCCTTTGTTTGCCTTTGGCTCAGGAAAGCCCAGGAAATGTCCTGGAGGTTGAGAGAAAGCTGAGTTGAGTCTAGCTCTTGCCAGCAGCCCACCCTGCCCCCTAATAACCACATTCACAAAAGAGAGCCAGCCAGGAGGACCGGTGTGTGGGGGCAGAACCACTCCAGCAGTTTCAGAGGTCTGGCGAGATGCCTTCTGGCACCCCCAGGGCCTGGGGCCTCATTCGTACTGGGCATTCCAGTAAGGCAGAAGCTGGGATGAGAAGAATCAAGAAGACTGTTTTTTTAAAAATAGTAGTTTATTTTCTGACTTACAGTTGTGAGGAAGGAGCAGTAGTTAAGCATCAGGCTGGTAACTGAAAAGCCAGTGTTTCAAACCCACCTGCCGCTGTGCAAAAGGCAGGTGTAGCAGTCTGAAAGTCTTGTGGGGGCAGTTCTACTGTTTTATAGAATAATTTGCCTTTCATTGTTGTTATGGTGGTGGTATACCATGGAGTTGGAATTGACTCCAGGGGTTTTCAGAGCCAGTAAATCACATAGGAGGAGAGTGCTTATCTTTCTCCTTTGGAGAAGCTGGAAGATTTGAACTTCCTGACCGTGCGTTGGATTGACAGCAACTTCTTACCATTAGGCCACCAGAGTTTCCATGCAGGATAATTAGAAGTTGAAATCCACCCAAAGACAGCAAGTTTGGTTTGCATTTCTCTTTGGGAGGACACCAATCTTTTGTTTGAGAAGGAGAAAATGCACTCTGGCCTTTAACTGGCATTTTCATCATGGGAAGGTAAAACTACAATTCTATTGAGAGGAAAAGTGGAAAGAGACTCTTCTGCAAAATAATGAGGAAAGAGGCTGCCTCTGGAAGGAGAGGGCTTCCACAAACCGAGCAATAGGGTAACTAGGAGGAGCACTTCAGGCTCAGCAAAAGGCTATCTTCTGAAGGAGTTTCAGGTGGTTGGGTGAGTGAGTGAAAGTCAGCGGTCAGCCAGTCTCCTCGTTTGGCCACTGTCTAGCTCCCCAGGAGAGAAAGGTGAGGCTGGACCTGAGTCAGCTGAAGACAGAGCTATTGGGATGGAGGAGGGACGCTTACGGTGAAACTGAAGGTACCTACTACGTGAGGGTGCTTAGTATATGCTGCCAGGCACTTGAGATTAAATAGTAAAGTCTGCAGGCACAGTTCTTGCCTTTCAGGAGCTTCAAATTACTCACCAATTTACACAACTGTTTAGTTACAAATGTAGTGATGATAGACTGAAAATCACAGCTAATGCTATACAGTAAGTGCTCTGAATGCTCTGTACCCCCACAACGTTCCAGAGGCTGACACATACTGACATGTATGCTCTTTGCACCCACTTCTTAACCATAATGAAGATACACAAAGGTCAAGTGTCCCATGTGGTACTGAGACTTGAGGCCACATGCCCAACACTACACTCTGCTCTCCTTTTCCACAGTCACAAGAGAAAGTATTAGGGGCAAACTAGCAAGTCCTGGGAAGTGGTCTGAGCCAAGACCTAAGAATGAGATGGAATTAACCAAGAGGAGAAAGTATTGTTGAAAGAGGGAACTGCCCTTGCAAAAATCCAAGGGTAGATTGAGAACATGGACCAAGTGAATGAAGGCCTCATATTACAAAAGAGTGAGGAGAAGCGGGAACTGGGTCAGGCCAAAAATCTTTAGAGTAACTGGAAGTGTTTAAGGAGTTGGTTGATGATACTCAGTGTTGGAGTTTAAACATCTGAAAGCCACTGAGAGAATGAATTGGAGAGACTAGATGGAGTCTCCTACCCGCTGCACAAAAGAGCGAGGAACAGGAAGAATGGAAAGCAGACTGTGGAGTTTCCTCTCCTGAGAATGAAGCCAGGGGTAGTGGGGTAGTGGACGGCCAGGGGCTCGGGTGGCGCGAAAGAGGTGGAGTCAGAGGGGACGTGCGGCAGGAACCAGGGTTGGGCTGACACTGTAGGCAGCTTCCTGGCCGTCGAGCTCGGGGGCGGGGCCCGGTGGGCGGGCCACCTGGTCACGCACTGTCCGGCCGCGGCCACAGTCCCGACGTGCGGCCCCCGGCTGTCAGGGTCGAGCCGGCGCAGGTGGGGTAGCGCGCTGGGGCGGGGCCGGGGCGGGGCCTGGAGCTGGCGGCCGAGCGCCGCGCAGGGCGCATTCCTGGCTGTCCAGCCCCGGTTAGTGGAGCGCCCGGCCCGAGTGCGGACTGTGCCGGGCGTACAGTCCGGCTGGCCGGAGCCAGACACTGAACTGCGGAGACGTCAGGTGAGCGGAGACCCTGCTGGCCGCGGGACCCCGGAGGTTCGAGGTGAACCCTGTGCGCGTCCAGGTTGCTCTCCCAGCCGCCAGGGGGCGAGCGGCGGCGGCAGCCCTCCCGCAGCACCGCCGACCTGGGTTCGGCGGGGTTGGGGTGGGGGGTGGGGGGGGTTGGATGGGGCAGTAAATCAGTAACCCGCAGCGCACACAGGGCCTTTTGTCCCGCTCCATCTAAAGAGCACCCTGGCCGTGGAGCTGGTTACTCATTGCCCACCGGGGCGGGGGCGGGCCGGCCATCTCCGCCACTCTCCCGCGGAATCGACCGACCCACCCCTTCCCCCAACGTGGCCCTGGAGGGCTGCCTGCGCGCAGAGATAAGGAGGATAGGGAAACCTGTCACTTGTGCAGGGAAAACCGAAGATTTGGAGCCTCCTGTGCCACCTATTCCCTCTGGTCTGAAATGGTGCAGTCATGGGCTGCAAAAGTCCCCTACTCGGAGCTCTGAGGTTGGGGTAGCGTGAGCGTGAGAAGAAAAATCCTCAGGCTTCTTCATTCCACTCTTAGCCTTAACTTTGGCTTCAAGGGAGCTTCACTCTGTGCAGAGCGGAATGAAGTGTTTTTGCCTGTGATGGAGGAAACTCCCCTGAACCTGAGGGGTGGGGTGTAGAGGCAGTGGCTGCTGAGTCAGGTGGGGAAAGGAAAAGGTACCTCAAGCGCCAACATGGGAGACCAGGAAAAAAGAGCCTGGGCCAGGAGGGAGACCAAGGATGCTGGAAGAACAGTGTGGGCCTGATCTTGACTGATGCAGGTAGCCATTAAAGGTTCATGAGTTGGAGATTGACATAACAAAGTTGGACTTTTTTTTTAACTCATCTTAGAAAACTAAAAAGCTCAGAGAGGTGTTGCAAGGGACCAAGCAAGAGACAACCATGTACTGGCCAGCATCAGAGAAGAGAAAGTGGAATAGATGGAATAGACTAGGAGAAAATGTGGTGAACTTTCTGGGCAAAGTAGACCCAGAGGTACCAGTACCTCTGGCTGTTCCCCAAACTCAGGCCATCGCCACTGTGTTTAAGGGACTAGCATTGGCCACACTAATCCCCTTCCTCAGTTCTACATGTTCCTTTTGGGGGGCAAAGGCATCTTTGGTGGCTAACCTGGATGGGGAGGGTATTTACATCAGGTCTTTACCAACTGTGCTAGAAACAGTGAATGGTTGAAGGCAGGTGAGGGTGACAGCTACCTCTCTGGACTGGAGGAAAGTAGGGAGACATCATTGCAACATTCTGAGTTCCAGCTCCTATGTGCATTGCCGCCTTTCTTCCCAAAGCATTTCTGTGAGGAAAGTGGTCCAGAAAGGGACAGGGACTTACAGGTTCCTAAGAGGTAGGATTTGAACCTGGCCTAGAGTCAATATTCTTTATAAAATCATGTATGGGCTCAGATGGAGTTGTGTGAGGAGGGCAGGGATCTGGAGTCTCCCTGGGATGCGACACTGGTTCAGAATAGGAACAATTTGATCCTTAGTAAGGAATGAACTGTCTTATTGGTGCCCTGCCACTGGAGGCATCCAAATCTGGTCACAGAAATGTCAGCAATGCTCCCAGAAGTGGAGGTCAGATCAGACACTTTCCAAATGTTGAAGTTTGGCTTTGTATTATATTTCAGATTGCTTTTTTCGCCCCTTCAGCAATAAATTTATTTATTCAGCAGAAAGTAAATTATGTGCTATGAAAGTTAGTATCTCCATTCTCTACTTCCTCCCAAGCAAAGAATCACAAAATCATTCTTTCTGTGAACTTGTGCCAGGGTCCCAGCAGGACCCATGGAGAGCAGGAAGCCCAGCCCCACCACCCCCACAACCTGATGTGGGGAGACATTGGGTTCTGGCAGCAGAACTGGTTTCATTCTCTGTCCTGGTGTTGAGGCCTGACTGGGGACCTGGACAAGTCAGCTGACCATTTCCTGTCTCTGTTTCCTTATCTGCAGTGTTGGGGTCTAGGCCCAGCACAGGTGGATGTGTTCCAGGAGCTGTTCTCCCTCCCTATTTCAGGAAGACAGTCGATGGGACGCCCAGCCTGGGTCCAAGTGTCCAGCAGGAAGGAGATGTGGCTGCTGTTGGTCCTATTGGGGGTCCTGCTGGGGGTGCCAAGGGTCCCAGCCTTGTCTCTTGAGACCTCTGAGGAAATAGAGCTAGGTATGATCCCTAAGGCAGTAGAACATGGCAGGAGTGGGAAGAGTGGGCACCAGAAAAGAATTACTGGATGAGCGAGGCTCAGGCCCTGGGGTGGGGGATGGCAGGGCAGGCACAGCCATTGAGACTCAGTGTCTGGCTCCCAGCAAGCATCCACCTATCTCTGTGTCTGCAAGAGAAGAGGGCCTTATGGGGCAGAGGGCCCTGAGCGGGGCTACAGAGCTGGTGGTGAGCCCCTTGGCTGTGTGTACACGTGTGCGTGTGTAAAAGTGTGTGTGTGCTGTGCACCAGGTGCGTAGCAAAGAAGCATGTGCTGTGTGTGCAGTGTAAGTGTGATGTGCCCTGTGTGTGGCACCTATAGCATGTGCCACGGATGTGTTTTGGGCAGCAGCATGTCCAGCATGTATGGACGTGAAATCTGTGTGTGACATGACCAAGGCAGCATGTGTATGTGCCAAGAAGAAGCAGCGTGTCCAGCATGTGACACAGGTGCTTGTGCCCTATATGCATAGCATGTTCTCTGTGTGTCAGGGGCTGGCCCTATGGGCCTGCAGGACTCACTGACCTCTGCCCTCGGCCCACAGAGCCCTGCCTGACCCCCAGCCCAGACCAGCAGGAGCAAGAGTTGACCATGGCCCTGGGACAGCGTGTGCGGCTCTGCTGTGGACGGGCTGAGCGTGGTGTCCACTGGTACAAGGAGGGCAGCCGCCTTGCAGCTGTGGGCCGGGTACGGGGATTAAGGGGCCACTTGGAGATTGCCAGCTTCCTGCCTGAGGATGCTGGCCACTACCTTTGCCTGGCGCGAGGCTCCATGCTTGTCCTGCACAATCTCACCTTGGTTGTGGCTGGTAAGAAGGTCTAGCAGGGGTCTAAGGGCTGCCTAGGGAGAAAGCTGCTCCTCCCAAACCTCATTCTCCCTCTATCTGTGACACAGACTCCTTGACCTCCAGTAGTGATGATGAGGACACCAAGACACGCAGGAGCCCCTCAAATGGGTACATTTACCACCAAGGTCAGTATGAATCTCCGAGGACTCATCTCACTCCTGGAGAAGAGACTTGTGTGAAAACCAGTGGTCATTCCTGGGCACCAAGTTCTCCCTCTCCCTTCCCCATTCCTCAGCACCCTACTGGACACACCCCCAGCGCATGGAGAAGAAACTGCATGCAGTGCCTGCAGGGAACACAGTCAAGTTCCGCTGTCCAGCTGCAGGCAACCCAATGCCCACTATCCGCTGGCTCAAGGATGGTCAGGACTTCCATGGGGAGCATCGCATTGGAGGCATTCGGGTGAGTCTCTGGGTTCCAAGATCATCTGCTCCCTCATTTTCTTCCCTTCATCTGTCCTCTCGGTACCTCCAAATCAAACCTGAGTTCCTTCCCTGATCAAGAAAGCAGCTGCAGGGCCCCAAGATAAAACCCAAAGTCTGGATTTGGATGGTTGGTCTGGTTCAAATTCCCAACTCTGTCTGCCACTTGCTGGCAAGGGATTCCATTCCTCCCGAGGATAGTCACTGACCAATAGGTCTAATCAGCTTCATCAGCTCTCCTGCTCGTGATGAGATCATTCAGAGCCACACTATGATAGTGAAGAAAGGGGTTCAGAGAGTGAAAAACAAGCTCAAGGTTGCATGGCTGAGACAGGCACAACTAAGACTCAAGACACAAACTCAGGGCTTTTAGAACTTGAGTCAAGCCCTGTGGGCAGGAATCTCCATCCCCAGGCCCCCAGGGTGTCTGGGCTGTGGCCCTCTGTGTACATTTCCCTTGCCCCCAGCTGCGCCACCAGCACTGGAGCCTGGTGATGGAGAGTGTGGTGCCCTCAGACCGTGGCAAGTATACCTGCCTCGTGGAGAACTCTGTGGGCAGCATCCACTACAGCTACCAGCTGGATGTGCTGGGTGAGCGGACCGACAGGGGAGGTAAAGGGTGGGAGGCCCTATCCTGTCTCAGGCCCAGTCCTGCCCTCAGGCAGAACTCAGCCTGGTGGTCGAAGTGGTCAGTCTTCCATGACTAAAGCAGCTTGAAGTGACCAGGGGAGACAGAGTAAAGTACAGGGACAGTGAGGGTCTAGAGGACCAGGCATCTGTGAAGCAGGAAAGTAGGAAGGCATCTGGCAAAGGATGCAGACAAGTAAAGGCCCCTAGGTGTAAAGACTGCAAAGCATTTGCATGGAGGTGCATGCCAAGGATGTGGCATTTAAGTGGGGAAACTGGCCAGAAAGATTTGAATGCTTGGCTAAGAAGCTGGCATTTACCCCAAGGTCACTGGGGAGCCATAAATGGTTTAAGCAGGAGGTGGACATGGTCTGACTGAGTTGCATGTTGGGAAGGTCCCTCCCTTGAGCCAGGGGCAGGCTGGAGGCTGCAAGCCTCTGTGGCTGCCACTGGTCAGGCTTGACGGCCTGGCCTGGCCCCCAGAGAGGTCCCCGCACCGGCCCATCCTGCAGGCGGGACTCCCGGCCAACACCACAGCTGTGGCGGGCAGCGATGTGGAACTGCTGTGCAAGGTGTACAGTGACGCCCAGCCTCACATCCAGTGGCTAAAGCACATTGTCATCAACGGTAGCAGCTTCGGTGCTGATGGCTTCCCCTATGTGCAAGTCCTAAAGGTCCAGCCCCTGCTAATTCCTGAATCCTACCCTACTTCTGCCCTGCCCTGGGGTGGGCCTGGCTCTCTGCTAACCCTAGCCACAGGGGGGTGGCTTCAGGCCCTACTGTGTCCCCTGAGTGTGCCCCCTGTCCCTAGACAGCAGACATCAATAGTTCGGAGGTGGAGGTCCTATACCTGCGGAACGTATCAGCTGAGGATGCAGGCGAATACACCTGCCTGGCAGGCAATTCCATTGGCCTCTCCTACCAGTCGGCCTGGCTCACAGTGCTGCCAGGTGAGCACCTGAGGGGGTCAGAAGAGGCTGCAGGATCTTCTCTGCCTGCCTTGTATCAGGCAGAGGGACATGACCTATTGGATGATGAGGCTCCCCTTAGCCAGTACAGCCTGGATTTAGGATGCAGCACATTTAACTCCATATGCAGCAGTCCCTTTGCGCACGTGCAGCACTCTAGTGTATCTGGGAGTGGATTTGGCTGTAGTTTTCTGTGTGCATCTATGTGTGTGTCCCTAAGTTTATTGCACACAGTGAGGACCTGAGTTGAAGGGTTTGGGGCTGACTAGTCTGACCACTAACCAGTCAGTTTTTCTGTGTGTCCACCACGAGGGTAGAGGAAGACCTCACGTGGGCTGCAGCGGTATCTGAGAGCAGGTACACAGACATCATCCTGTATGCCTCGGGCTCTCTGGCACTGGCCGTGCTCCTGTTGCTGGCCGGGCTGTACCGTGGGCAGGCGCTCCACAGCCGGCACCCCCGGCAGCCTGCCACCGTGCAGAAGCTGTCCCGCTTCCCTCTAGCCCGACAGGTACCTTCCCGGGCTCCCACCCCCATGATCCTCATAATCCTCACCCTCCTGCCCCATCACCGTGCCAGTAAGCAGAGCCATATGTCCACCTTTACAGTTCTCTCTGGAGTCTGGTTCCTCGGGCAAGTCCAACTCATCCCTGGTGCGGGGTGTCCGGCTCTCCTCCAGTGGGCCCCCTTTGCTTGCTGGCCTTGTGAATCTCGACCTACCTCTTGACCCACTGTGGGAGTTCCCCCGGGACAGGTACACTGATTGGAGAGGGGTATGACCACCTTTCACGGGCTGTAGGCCCAGGGGTAAGAGGTGCCTGCCCCCGACCTCATCCTCAGCTCTCTGTCTCCAGGCTGGTGCTCGGGAAGCCCTTGGGTGAGGGGTGCTTTGGGCAGGTGGTGCGGGCCGAGGCCTTTGGTATGGACCCCTCCCAGCCTGACCAGTCCAGCACCGTGGCTGTCAAGATGCTCAAGGGTGAGTGTGGCAGCCAGAGAGACACTTTGACATGTTGACTGACAGAGTACCCACAGTGATACCTGATGGACAGGAACCCAGCTCTACCCCTGCCCTTCAGATGTCACTTGTAAGCTTCCATTTCCCCATCTGTACTATGCACTAAGTAACAGTACCCACCTTTCAGTCCAAGGTGTGCACAAAGTACCTGGCACACAGGTTGCTGCAGTGATGATCCCCCACAACAATGGTCTTACATAAACTTTTCCTCACATTTCCAGCCTCATAAGCCCTCAATTTCATCTCCCAAAGTCCGTCCCCACAATTCCTTCCCTAAGACCATTCCCAGGTGTGTCCCCATATGTCCACCATTCTGGAACAGCTCTTCTGCTTAACTCTGTCCAGGCCCCCAAGCAGCAGCTCTGAGTTGCCCCTCAGGACAAACCTGAGATCCCACCACTGGGGCCTCTCACCGCTGACCCCAGCTCCTGCTGCTGCTCTGCTCCCCCCTCCTCCCTGCACAGCTGGGGCCACCTGGCACTTTCTGGGAGGCAGTGATTGAGAAATGTGCCTTGCAAGGTCCGAGGTTTATGTCATTGGCCCAGGGCCACAGGTTCGGCCTCGGGGGCCCAGCCCCTGGTCTGTAGCCCTCTCAGGAAAAGCCAGAGGAGCTTTTTTCTTTGCCTCCCCTCAATGGGCCCCGCTGGCAGCTCCCTCAATTCCCAGGCCAGATGGACACCAGGCCCTTGTCTGACAGACCTCAGGGCGCCAGCCTCCTTCCACCCCCAGGAACTCACCCCGTTCAGGGACTAACGCCAGCTCCTCCAGACGGAAGCCTCCTTCCTGTTCAGATCTCCCTCCCCACCCCCGCTCTGTCTCCTGCTCCTGCTCACTGAGTGGCAAGCACTTCTTTTAGCCCCTCCATCTTGGTGCTTCTTTGCACCTCCCTGAGCGGTGAGACAGACCCAATATTCCATGTCTACAAGAGGGCAGTGAGGATCAGAGAGGTTAGGAGGTTTGTTCAGGGCCACATAGCCTAACTTGGTTTCAGCCCAGACCTTCCTGATGGCTGAGCCAGAAATCCAGTCCCCTCTCACTCCACACTGCCTTCCCCTTGCAGTTGGAGGGCAGCGCCCTCACACAGCCCTTGCTCTTGCAGACAATGCTTCTGACAAGGACCTGGCTGACCTGGTCTCGGAAATGGAAGTTATGAAGCTCATTGGCCGACACAAGAACATCATCAACCTATTGGGAGTCTGCACCCAGGAAGGTAGGCAGGGACCAGGCTAGGGCCTGGGTGCAGGAGGCCTTGAACTGTTTCCTCTGGAGACTCCCTCTCCCCTTCCACCTCCTTGCTGTTAGGTGTCATCAAGTAAGACTCATAGCACCCCTGTGAATGACAGATCTAAACCCTGTCCTATTCTGTGCTATCCTCATTGTATCAGGCACACATTTGTGTAGTCACTGTGTCAATCCGCATGGTTGAGGGTCTTCTTCTCCTTCATCATCCCCCCTACCTTTCCAAGCATGATGTTCTTCTCAAAGGAATAGTCTCTCCTAACACCATGCCCAAAGTATGCGAGACTAAGCTTCGCCATCCTTGCCTCCAAGGAGCGCTCTGGCTGCACCTTCTTCAAGACATGTCTGTTTGTTCTGTTGGCCGTCCATGGGATGTTCAGTGCTCTTCTCCGTCTCCTCAGGGCCCCTGTATGTGATTGTGGAGTGTGCTGCTAAGGGCAATCTACGCGAGTTCCTGCGGGCCCGGCGCCCCCCAGGCCCTGACATCAGCCCTGACGGGCCCCGGAGCAGCGAGGGGCCCCTCTCATTCCCTGCACTTGTCTCTTGCGCCTACCAGGTGGCACGGGGCATGCAGTATCTGGAGTCAAGGAAGGTGTGGACAGCAGGTGGTGCTGTGGATCACTGCAATTCCAGCACTCCACACTTCCTGCATCTGTCCCCATGCAGCCCTCCCTGTTGTCACTACCCAAGGCTTTTCCTCTCCTGGTCTCAAAGTCATTGTCACTGAATGTCCTGTGTATTCCTCTAACACGCCGTAACCTATAGGTAGGGCACAGGAAGAAGTGATTCAAGAGAAGATTCCTAAAATTACCTAGTGAGGGATGAATGTCAACTTCTTCATCTATAAAATGGGTGGATAATCCCTCTCTCCCAGGGTTACTGTGGGGTGATGAGTGCATGGCTTCCAGACCTGTGTCTTAAAAAACCAAAATCCCTTTTCTTCGCCTGCCCCCAGTGCATCCACCGGGACCTGGCTGCCCGTAACGTGCTGGTAACAGAGGACAATGTGATGAAGATCGCTGACTTTGGGCTGGCCCGAGGTGTCCACCACATTGACTATTACAAGAAAACCAGCAATGTGAGTGAGACAGGGCAGAGCTTGGGGGGCGGGGCCGGAGAGGGGCATAAGGACTGGGCTGGTGTGGGGGGAGTGGCACTGGGATATGTGGGACATAGCACCAGTGTCCTCTCCTCTCCCTCTAGGGTCGCCTGCCAGTCAAGTGGATGGCACCAGAGGCCTTGTTTGACCGAGTGTACACTCACCAGAGTGACGTGTGAGTCGTTGGAGCTGGAGGCCTGCCTGGGATCTCAAAAGGCCTGTGGTCTCTCTAGGCTCCCAGTCCTACCCCACAGAGAGAGTGAGGGAGTCTGCCCAGCAGCTCCTTTTGCTCAAGCCTGGGACCCCAGTGCCCCCAGACTCCAAAGGAAGCCCCTGCCTTTTTCCCAGCAATGAGGGCTATAGCCCCTGAAAGAGCGAAACTGAGTCCTGGTCCTGCCTCCAGGTGGTCATTTGGGATCCTGCTGTGGGAGATCTTCACACTCGGAGGCTCCCCCTACCCTGGCATCCCTGTGGAGGAGCTGTTCTCATTGCTGCGGGAAGGGCATCGCATGGACCGACCCCCACAATGCCCTCCAGAGCTGTGAGGCCCTGCCGCCCTAACTTTCCAGTCCTCATCCTTCACCCTGACCTTGACCGGGGAGGGGTCGGCTTCTTTGTACCCTTTGAGGATGGCACTAAATTTATCACACCCACACGGGCCTCCTTCCTGACTTGACTTCCCTGTCCATTCACGGAATAACCTCCCAAACCACCCCATCCTCTCTCAGGAAGCCCCTACTCCAGCGCTTCTGACGCCTCACCCTTTCACAGGTACGGGATGATGCGTGAGTGCTGGCATGCAGCGCCCTCCCAGAGGCCCACTTTCAAACAGCTGGTGGAAGCACTGGACAAGGTCCTGCTGGCTGTCTCTGAGGAGGTACCGCTGCCCTCCTGCCTCAGGCCTCTGAGCTGCTGCCCTTTGCCTGCTCTCCTCTGGGCTTCTGACCTGACCCCGTGGACAGGCAGCAATTAGGGGCTGACTCTTGCCATTTCCCCCTATCAGTACCTTGACCTCCGCTTGACCTTTGGGCCCTACTCTCCTGATGGTGGGGACGCCAGCAGCACCTGCTCTTCCAGCGACTCTGTCTTCAGCCATGACCCCCTACTGCTGGGGTCCAACTCATTCCCCTTTCCTGGGGCACAAACATGAGGTGGATACAAGGTTTTGCAGCCTCCCGGATTGACCATACTTGGTGCTTAACCTTGGCTTTCAGGCCTTGATCCCAGTGCTGACTCAGATCTCCCGTTCTGCTTTGGGGAGGTCTGTCCTTAGTCCTGTGGACCCTGGTTGAGGCTTCCTGCACTGGTCTTGAGTTCTCAGCCCAGCTTTCAGCCCCTGATCTCAAGGCCCTGCTCTTGGAGTTGTGGTCATAGCCTGGGCTTCTATTGAGCCTGGGTTCTGCTTAGCCTCCTGAGCTCTCTGCTCAGGCCCTGCCTCAGGAGTTTGGCTGGGCTTGGCTGTAAGACTCTTAAATCTCTGCTTCCCTACCCCTTTCCAGCTGTGGGCCTCTCTGTCCCATTCCCCAGCCTGCCCTCTCCCCTCCACTGCTTGTCCCAGCTTCCTGGTGCAAGGAGCATTGGCCTCTGTGACCCTGTCCAGGAGGCTGGAAACCTGCCAGAAAGATAGAAATGAATTACTTTTGATAAATTATTTTTTTTTAAATAGACCTCCATGTGCTAGTGTCTTCCCTGGGAGAGGGGGAGGATGGTGGAAAGAGCCTCGAACTGTGAGTTGCGTCTGCCTGAGCCACACAGACAGGGTCTCAGGCCTCTGCATCTGCCCCCGGCTGCCCTAAGGTGGGCCCAGGAGCCAGTGTGTGCCTCTGTCTGACTGTGCTACCTGCACCATCTTGTGCATGTGATGTGTGAGTGTAACTGTCCACAGGGCAGGACTCCTGCATCTTCCACACGTATGTTTGCATGTGTGTGCACTGTATGGTCCCCTGAGAGCTGGCAGCCCCCTCCCCCATCTGCTCAGTGTTAACCAAGTTGACCGTTAACACAGCGTGAAAGCCTGAAACTGAGCCTTGAGGCTGTTGCCCGCTCCCACGCTCCACCACTCAGGTTAGGGGCTTGTGGGGGCTGTGCCCATCCCGCCTGACTCTGGCCAGTCTCCCGGGCAGCAGCTGGGAGCCGCCTGGCTGGGCTGCAGCTGTCCCTGCCCGCCTGGCCCTCTACTGGGGAGGCCGTCACGGACCTGTTCTCAGACGCCCTCTCAGGGAGATCAGTTTCCCAGGATTCTGAACCTGGAACCCGTTTCCAGCTCCACCCCTGCAGTCGCTGCTACTCCCTGGCCCCTGGTCCCTGGGCTGGGCTGTGGGGAAGCTCCATTTGCTGTGCCTGACTCAATACATGGCACTGTCTCCTGCCCTAGCCCTGTAGGCCCTGGGCCTGGGCCAGGCTGTCCAACCAGGACACACTAAAGGTCACCTAGGTTGCCTCCATGTGCTACAGATACATTCAGCCAGAGGGATCAGGGCTGGGTCATTGACTCAGCACTGGAAGAAGACAGCAGTCCAAGCCCATGCTTCCCTCTCCCCTGAATCACAACCCACTTTCTCTCTCTGACTCTCCATGTTCCAGACCAAACTATTCATCTTTCCCAAACTGAACTTCTGCCAGGGCACCCCATCTCAGAGAGTGCACCAGACCAGCAACCCCAGAAAGTCATTGTGTCCTCTTCCTACCCCTTTAGGAGCCCTATCCCCTAACAGGGTACAAAAAGCTATGGATTCGTAGCTCAGTTCATGTTCTGCTACTTCTGGTGTCCGGCTGTGGCACCTGAGGCCAGTGCCAGCATTGCTCTGATTATTACTTTCTTCTCTGGTATGAGGAATCACTGGGTGGTACAAACAGTAACACATTCAACCATGAACTGAAAGGTTAAAGGTTCTAATCCACCTGGTGGTACCTTGGGAGAGAGTCCTGGTGACCTATAATAGCATCGTCTTTGAAAAGCCTGTGGAGTGCACATACTTGGACACATGGGATTGTCTTGGGTTGAAGTCAACTTGACACCTGGGGTTTGGTTTTGGTTTTTCTGTCATTCCAGCGCCTGACTCCTGTCCTGCCCCTTCTCCAGGACATCAGATTGAGGAGAAAGTGGCTCGATGGTTGTGCATTTAAAAAGTGGGGCTGCAGGGCTTTAAAAAAATTTTTTTATTTCCACAGTCTTTATTTACCACATATGGCAGATTTCAGGGGTGCAGCACTAACCAGTGTATTGGTTTGCAGCAGAGAGCTGTTGTCACATGAAATGACCTACTTCATCAGGCTTCCCAGGGCTTCAGTCCTAAATCATGATCCTTTAACACAAATGGAATGTACTCTACTGATAAAAGTATCTTCTTCTAAAAGATAGACAGCTCCAGCAACAAGCTGGATATCTTCACACAGGAAATACGGAGATATTCCAGGTCCTCAGACTCCTGGTTCCAGTAACTCCATCATGACAAAAAGACTTCACCAAAAAGATCATGGCTTTCTTAAGATCATGGCTTTCTTAAGAACTAAGCTTGGTTCTCTCTGAGTTTACAGGCCCCTGGCCACCCTGAGGTCTCCTAGGTCTCCTCCTCTTTCATCCCAAGTGGCTTCAGAGGCAGTTCTCAAAAATCTCTTTTGACGTAAGTTCCCTTGCACTCTAGAAAACCCAACATCTCCTCTTGTTATGTGTTGTTAGGTGCCGGACCAACTCATAGCGACCCTATGAATAACAGATCTGAACCCTGCCCTATCTTTAATCACCACCACAGTCTCTGTCATGATTGTGTTAGTCACTGTACCAATCCATCTTGTTCACGGTCTTCCTCTCTGACGCCCCACCTTTCCGAGCGTGATACCCCTCACATGGCTGAGTGAGCTCCACTCCCAGGCCGCCTCAGACCAGTATGAGTCTCCCCTTCAAGGTCACTGTCCAATGGCTTCTGTCCTCCACTAGCCCCTGCCAATTATCAGGGAGGGGCAGATTCCTCACTCTCCACCTGGGGAAGGGAAAGTTGTCCACTGACAAGAGGATGAAGGATGAGAACTCGCAATTTATATTCTCCTTCCCACCATGAGCTCAACGTGGTGCCTGTCACCCACCAGCACACCCTCATCACAGCTTTACCAGAGGAGGATGATTCTTCCATTTAATGATGGAGAAACAGAGGTGTGATGGTTCCAATGTCAGAAAGATAGAGTTCAAAGAAGGATCAGGGCTGAGACAGCCCCCCAGGTTCCCAAGAGGTCCCATCATACATGGAAAATCAGAGCCAGGTTGCTCAGAGTGGCAGGAGCAGCTGCCGCATGTGTAGGTCTCGGGAGGCTGCGAGGGCTCAGCTGCCCTAGCCTGCGCCCCCTCCCTGCCCAGCATCCCTGGCAGGCGCACGCCCGCTGGAGCTGGTCCACATTCCTGATGTCCCGTGTCAGAACGAGACAGATGCTGCTAATTCCCTAGGCGGTCTGTGTGCCCCACCGCCCCCCAGCCTGCCCTGGGTGATGGCAGCCACTGGGCCCTGCCCCCTTTGGGCAGGTGTCTTAGCCATAGACATTGATTCTGTGAGCTCACAGGAGAAGCTCTGGGTCATTCACAGCCCAGCTCTGTCCTTTGATGGCTGCATGTTTCAAGTGGGTGGCAGTGGAAGCAGTCAGCCAACCTGAACTGAAAATTAGGAAATGGGCTTTCCCAGGAGACTGCTGGCTGTAAACCTAGAGCCTGCAGGAGAGAGCTGAGTTGTTCAAGGGGAGGGGTGATGGTATGAATTTACCCCTCCCTGAGCATCTACTCCCATTCCTGTGAGAATGATGAAGTTGTCTTGTTGAGTGACTTGAAGTGTGCAGTAAACAACAGCTGCTGTCTTGGATTAGGAGAGAATGGCTCCCAACACTCTATAATCTCATTCCCTCCTCAAGACAGGCCTTCCAGGATGGCATTCTTGTTCCCATTTCCCAGATGAGGACACTGAGGCTCAGACACAGGAAGTAACTGGGCCAAAGTCCTGTGGGCTAAGTGACAGAGTCAGTCTCAACCCCACAGTCCAGGCATTACTGTGATTACACAGGCCCCCAAGAGCTCTGGGTTTGCACAAGCAGGGGACACCAGTTATCAGAAAGTCCAGGCACATGGGCAGGTGGACATTCCTGAGGCCCAAGTACACATGGCCCAAGCCTTGCCTTTTGGCTCCCACCCTGTAGCCTTCAGTCCATGCTGCCTCCCCTGTGCTGTTTCTACCTCTCACCCTGCTCACCCTTCAGATCCCACTAACCTCATTCTTCAGGGTGGCCTACCTCAGCCCCTATCCACATTTGACCCCCAGTTTCGTGGCTCCCACGACTTTAAGGAAGGGAAGGTATAAAAGTCTTCTACCATAGGCTATAAGCTCAAGTAGGCAAATACCTAACATAAAACTCTTAGGCATAGCTGACCATCTAGCAAGTTCTATTTAGAGTCTGTAAATCTCATGGTAAGAGACTGCTCATCTTTCTCCCACAGAGTGGCTGGTGGATTTCGAACCAACAGAGAGGTACCAGCTTTCGATTAGCAGCACAACTGCTTACAGGCTAGACCACCCAGAAGTCTTTTTATTACTATTAATTTTAATGAACATTTACAGACATTTTGGATTTCCATTCATTCATTGTTGCACTTTTCTCCCACCCCCTCCCCCCCAGTTCACTCTTCTCTTTGAAAAGTAAAATTCCTTCACTGGTATACAATCCCCCTGCCCCAGTTACACTCCACTATGGAACCTTCATTCTGGACTCTTATGATAATCATAATACCTTATAATATATCGCTTTTAAACTATTCTTTTTTAATGTATGCTATCGTGTGGCCTTCCAGGGGGTTTTCAGTGGCTATAAATTGGATGGGAGGAGACCGCCCATCTTTTCTAGTGGAGTGGCTGGTATATTCGAACCACCATTATTTGCATTGGCAGTGCAACTCCTTACCACTAAGCCACCAGAGATTTTCACACATCTTGTTGTTATGTGTAGTCCAGTTGACTGCGACTCATGGTGATCCTATATGCAGTAGCTCTTGAGAGGTCCCTAATAGTAGATTTTTCTTATGCAACTCGTCTTTTGATTTCCTGACAACTGGTGCAAGGAGTATCAATTGTGGAACCAAGCAAGCTAAAATTGTTAACAATCCGAATCTTTTCTTCA